TATACAATGATGATGAACTGATATTACAATAATGATTTTCTACCGTTGCAATAATGAGAGCCCCCAACTTGAAAAATAACCCATAGCCATTAAGAAAAACAAAATGAAATTTTATATTGCAAGAAATTTTATCAAGGCGAAGATAACGATGTAAGAAAGATTTACTCATAAAAATATCTTAATTTCTTGCCGCAAATATCTTGTTTACGTGCTTCAGTATTCAGTTGTATGCATGTGGTGACAGAAGAATTATGGTGTATGCAACACATATAACCCTATTTCCATTCCCTTTTTCTCAACAAGAGGTAATAGCTTCTTCTTTTTTTTTTTTAGTTCTTTTTATGTGAGAAGTGAAAATGCAATATGTTCTTGTGTCTAGATAGATAATGTGCACAAAAAAGAGAAAATTAGAAAATGGGTAAATTAAATTACTATTACACAAAACGTTCTTCTATTATGTCCCCTTAAGGCTTAAGATAAGAGATGAGTTTAGTGTTTAGTTGTCTAAAAAAGTTAAAATTTAGTAGGCAAAAAATAACGCAATTGAGGGGTGGATGATAGTTTGGATATTAGATTATTTGCACAAATTTATTTGTTTGCATCGTAAACATATTTTTCAATCACTTTTTTACCTTACATATATTTTATTAAAAAAATGCTACGATATTTTTCTCAAAAATTTTTTTTAAAAAAAAATCTACCATCCAAATACACTCAATAATTTAAATGTTATAGTTGGACTACAAACCCGATATTTTTTGTGTTTATCCTATGCCCTTAAAAGCACATAATAGAAAAGACCTCATATGAAAGCTGTCATTAATCGATCTTAACCATCCCACACGCAAAGATTGTTATATGAGCCACATTTATGGTCGTGTATATCCCGAAACTTGTCTGAAGATTTTATCTAAGAAATTTGTTCATTTTATCAGTTGCAGTAGTTTCGGAAATGGTGAAAATCAAGAAAAAAAAAACCCAAGAGATAAGGAAGAAGAGAAAACCAAGAAGCCATTCATGCTTATCTTCATCATCAGTATTCCAAGATTGTACAACTGAAACATCTGTGGTTGGAATCATTGAAACCAGAGAGCTTCATTCAGTTGCAAGTTGGTTAGAAAAGTCGGAGTAGCAACTGGGGCAGTGTGCATGGTCGAGGAAGATGGACCATTGGGATATTTTCGGTGGATTTGAATTGCACGCAAGTTGATAAAAGCGCAAAGAAAAACAATTTCACATCATTCAAGTTTCAAGAGCACCCAAAAATGGAAACTATGAATGTGGAGCATTAATTAAAACTGCAGTGGATGTGAAATTGAAACTATAAATAAGGAGCGGTAATTTATAAATGGTTAGTGCATATGATAGCATAGAAAGGTGATAAAAAAACATATAGGAATAGTTGAAGAAGAATTAGCCGAAACAAAAAATTTTAGATATATGGTATGAAAAAGTGCAGAAGGATTGGAGAGTGGAAAACAAGAAAGAAGAGGAGAACGACGATTACCTTAGGAACAATGGCAGTGTGGTGGTGGGAAGGAAGTTTGGTTTGGGAAATGATGAGTGTGAAAGCAGGAATTTGTAAATTAGATATTATAGCGATTGATATAGACGGAGAGTGATGTCAGTAATAGCGAAGATATTGTGGGTGGTGTCAGGCTTTATAGTAAGACAGTCATGAATTGGGCAGGGATAAATAGTAGAGCGGTAAATGGAGTTTTCTGGGTATTCATTATATATTCATCAGGTATGTTGGGCATTCTATAAATCTAACGGTGAATAGATGATAAAAGTACAAAGTACTACAATGTAATGGTTTTTTTTTTTTTGACAGAAAAGAATCTACTTTTAAAGTTATCAGGCAACGTGGTAATGATATACATTGAGGGACTCTGACATGCCTTGCATTCGACGGTACCTTGCATTTGACCAAAAGTGCTAAACCTTTGCAGCTCACAAAACAGGCTCCAATGAAACAAACAACGGCAGGAAAAAAGAAAGAAGCTAGACTTCAGCTGTGGAGGTGCCACGTGGTGCCAAGGGAAGCTACCACAGGAACTCAAGGAAATTAAAAGGTTGTCCGGACTGTAGCCAAAAATATTGTTTGTTGGTTGTGCCTTACATAGTAGATAGAAATGTAGAACATATATATATAGGTGGATACAATACAAAGATAAAACAGTTTCTGGAAGCGTGTGCATCAAAGTGGAAGATAAAACAGTTTGTGGATCAGATTGGGTGTGGTGGCTCAAATTGATATGATTGAAGTACCCTCCTCGTGTCTTCTGCAGCATATTTTTCGATGCCGTCTTTAGCAAACACGATGACCTGATAGGTGAGCATTGTTGTTGGCAGGAAGAACAGGAGTTCATTTGGCTCCGCATGAATTTGGTCCAGAAATTGAATCCAATGCTGAGTAACATTAATGTCTGTGTATTGCAGGTAAGCATGTATTTGTTGTCGGTGGACATGAATGAGGAAAGAACGGTTATTTTGCCAATTTGGAGCGATGATATTAAATGGTGATTTCTGTCAAAATATATTATAAGTTAGGGTGTTTGGGTAATAATTTATCACTGTAATTGTATAAAGATAAAAGGTACCAGGCGAAAAGCGTCATCATCAGTGAGGTGATGGAAAAATGCCGAAAAACTTAAATCTTGTGTGAAGTCATCCGATAAGCCTGTGATAACTTGCTGGTAAACACAGTTAGTTCTATCAAAATGCATTTGCGAGAATGGATCTGGGTGGAGTTTTTGGGTTAATTGTGTTGTCCAAGGAAATATTTGTTGCTGGCAGTTTTTTTAAAGATGGCTACGTTGAACTCCATGTTTGCTAAATATTTAAATAGAATGATGTCACCAGTGGTTAGTTTATGGTCTGGTGCAAATTGATTCCAGCCTTCAGCAAATTGAAAGTTTCTCAAGGCAATCAGCCAATGTGCATTTTTTCGTTTGATGGTTAGGAATGACTGTCTGGAGTGTTGTATCATTGGAATAAGATCATGCGGCAATCGCTGTTCAGTTAAGAATATGTTAGGTTGTGGTTGTTAGATATTTGTGGAGGGAAAAAAGGAATTTGTATTATATTATCAGAGAAGTACCAGTGTTTGAGTTTTTGTAAAACGAATTGTGAAACAGCATGGTAGGGGGCCATATATATCAGGTATGAAGTGAGGAAGAGGAGCATCTGGAAAAACAAGAATTGTTTTAGCAAATACTCAGAAATATAGGATTTTTGTAAGATAGCAAGTAAATGATAACAATTTACAATTACCTGGTGGGTGCGAAGAAACAAACATGAGGACGCGTTCCAGCCACTTAGCAATGGAAATAGCATATTTAAGCTCAAGAAGGCCAACGTCTTCAACGAGGGCAAAATGTTGTTCAATGAATGCTTCGCTGTATTTGTAGGTATCGTGTTTGGGATCTTTATGCAAAGCTGTAGCAGCAAGTGTTTTATGGCCAGTGGGCGTAACTAAATAGTATTTGTATAATTTCTGTCTTTGGGGTGTAATGTGGACGGTTAGTGTCCAAGAAACAAAGATATCATTGTCCATCTAACTGTAGAGAGTTTATGAAACTGTTGGTTATTAAATTGTATATGGATTCGGTGAATGGAAAACGAAATGTTTAACTAAACGGAATGTAAAATGAAGCAAAATAATCTACCAAACAGTGAATCATATTAGTTATGAGTTAGGTCTGTTTTATGTTTGAAGAATTATAGACGTAAAAACAATGAAAGGATTAAATATGTTGAAAGTAAATTATTCAGTTATCAGCTGCAAAATATAGTGGAAATTGATGGAAGCGTACCTGGTGTGCAAGTGAAGTAGGAAATTTAGCTGTGTTTTAACTGTTGAGGATTTTTTACTGGTGATAGATTTTATAGGAAAATGAGAGTGAATGTTCAGGTGGAAGAAGGCTGTATATGTTTGAAGATGCGGGGGTCGGTGGAGGGCTTTAATGGGTATTTAATTTGAACAGGTAAGAAGAGAAAGTGGGTCGGTTGAGTATTTGGTGGAGTATTAAATGAATTGATTGGTAGTATTTATTTTGAACCGTTTAATGGGAGAATTTAATTTGTTTTAGTAAGGGAAAGGATTCTGTGGTATATTGGGTTGCTATATGTTTGTTTGCGTATGCGTGGCTGTTGAAAAATAAGAAAGAAAATAGTGGAGTGGGTGGAAGAAGAATTGAAAGCGATGGAGGCAGGTAGCAGGAATAAAGGCGATGGGATATTTTCAGTGGATTTGAATTGCACGCAAGTTGATAAAAGCGCAAAGAAAAACAATTTCACATCATTCAAGTTTCAAGAGCACCCAAAAATGGAAACTATGAATGTGGAGCATTAATTAAAACTGCAGTGGATGTGAAATTGAAACTATAAATAAGGAGCGGTAATTTATAAATGGTTAGTGCATATGATAGCATAGAAAGGTGATAAAAAAACATATAGGAATAGTTGAAGAAGAATTAGCCGAAACAAAAAATTTTAGATATATGGTATGAAAAAGTGCAGAAGGATTGGAGAGTGGAAAACAAGAAAGAAGAGGAGAACGACGATTACCTTAGGAACAATGGCAGTGTGGTGGTGGGAAGGAAGTTTGGTTTGGGAAATGATGAGTGTGAAAGCAGGAATTTGTAAATTAGATATTATAGCGATTGATATAGACGGAGAGTGATGTCGGTAATAGCGAAGATATTGTGGGTGGTGTCAGGCTTTATAGTAAGACAGTCATGAATTGGGCAGGGATAAATAGTAGAGCGGTAAATGGAGTTTTCTGGGTATTCATTATATATTCATCAGGTATGTTGGGCATTCTATAAATCTAACGGTGAATAGATGATAAAAGTACAAAGTACTACAATGTAATGTTTTTTTTTTTTGACAGAAAAGAATCTACTTTTAAAGTTATCAGGCAACGTGGTAATGATATACATTGAGGGACTCTGACATGCCTTGCATTCGACGGTACCTTGCATTTGACCAAAAGTGCTAAACCTTTGCAGCTCACAAAACAGGCTCCAATGAAACAAACAACGGCAGGAAAAAAGAAAGAAGCTAGACTTCAGCTGTGGAGGTGCCACGTGGTGCCAAGGGAAGCTACCACAGGAACTCAAGGAAATTAAAAGGTTGTCCGGACTGTAGCCAAAAATATTGTTTGTTGGTTGTGCCTTACATAGTAGATAGAAATGTAGAACATATATATATAGGTGGAAACAAGACAAAGATAAAACAGTTTCTGGAAGCGTGTGCATCAAAGTGGAAGATAAAACAGTTTGTGGATCGGATTGGGTGTGGTGGCTCAAATTGATATGATTGAAGTACCCTCCTCGTGTCTTCTGCAGCATATTTTTCGATGCCGTCTTCAGCAAACACGATGACCTGATAGGTGAGCATTGTTGTTGGCAGGAAGAACAGGAGTTCATTTGCCTCCGCATGAATTTGGTCCAGAAATTGAATCCAATGCTGAGTAACATTAATGTCTGTGTATTGCAGGTAAGCATGTATTTGTTGTCGGTGGACATGAATGAGGAAAGAACGGTTATTTTGCCAATTTGGAGCGATGATATTAAATGGTGATTTCTGTCAAAATATATTATAAGTTAGGGTGTTTGGGTAATAATTTATCACAGTAATTGTATAAAGATAAAAGGTACCAGGCGAAAAGCGTCATCATCAGTGAGGTGATGAAAAAATACCGGAAAACTTAAATCTTGTGTGAAGTCATCCGATAAGCCTGTGATAACTTGCTGGTAAACACAGTTAGTTCTATCAAAATGCATTTGCGAGAATGGATCTGGGTGGAGTTTTTGGGTTAATTGTGTTGTCCAAGGAAATATTTGTTGCTGGCAGTTTTTTTTTAAAGATGGCTACGTTGAACTCCATGTTTGCTAAATATTTAAATAGAATGATGTCACCTGTGGTTAGTTTATGGTCTGCTGCAAATTGATTCCAGCCTTCAGCAAATTGAAAGTTTCTCAAGGCAATCAGCCAATGTGCATTTTTTCCTTTGATGGTTAGGAATGGCTGTCTGCAGTGTTGTATCATTGGAATAAGATCATGCGGCAATCGCTGTTCAGTTAAGAATATGTTAGGTTATGGTTGTTAGAAATTTGTGGAGGGAAAAAAGGAATTTGTATTATATTATCAGAGAAGTACCAGTGTTTGAGTTTTTGTAAAACGAATTGTGAAACAGCATGGTAGGGGGCCATATATATCAGGTATGAAGTGAGGAAGAGGAGCATCTGGAAAAACAAGAATTGTTTTAGCAAATACTCAGAAATATAGGATTTTTGTAAGATAGCAAGTAAATGATAACAATTTACAATTACCTGGTGGGTGCGAAGAAACAAACATGAGGACGCGTTCCAGCCACTTAGCAATGGAAATAGCATATTTAAGCTCAAGAAGGCCAACGTCTTCAACGAGGGCAAAATGTTGTTCAATGAATGCTTCGCTGTATTTGTAGGTATCGTGTTTGGGATCTTTATGCAAAGCTGTAGCAGCAAGTGTTTTATGGCCAGTGGGCGTAACTAAATAGTATTTGTATAATTTCTGTCTTTGGGGTGTAATGTGGACGGTTAGTGTCCAAGAAACAAAGATATCATTGTCCATCTAACTGTAGAGAGTTTATGAAACTGTTGGTTATTAAATTGTATATGGATTCGGTGAATGGAAAACGAAATGTTTAACTAAACGGAATGTAAAATGAAGCAAAATAATCTACCAAACAGTGAATCATATTAGTTATGAGTTAGGTCTGTTTTATGTTTGAAGAATTATAGACGTAAAAACAATGAGAGGATTAAATATGTTGAAAGTAAATTATTCAGTTATCAGCTGCAAAATATAGTGGAAATTGATGGAAGCGTACCTGGTGTGCAAGTGAAGTAGGAAATTTAGCTGTGTTTTAACTGTTGAGGATTTTTTACTGGTGATAGATTTTATAGGAAAATGAGAGTGAATGTTCAGGTGGAAGAAGGCTGTATATGTTTGAAGATGCGGGGGTCGGTGGAGGGCTTTAATGGGTATTTAATTTGAACAGGTAAGAAGAGAAAGTGGGTCGGTTGAGTATTTGGTGGAGTATTAAATGAATTGATTGGTAGTATTTATTTTGAACCGTTTAATGGGAGAATTTAATTTGTTTTAGTAAGGGAAAGGATTCTGTGGTATATTGGGTTGCTATATGTTTGTTTGCGTATGCGTGGCTGTTGAAAAATAAGAAAGAAAATAGTGGAGTGGGTGGAAGAAGAATTGAAAGCGATGGAGGCAGGTAGCAGGAATAAAAGCGATGGGATATTTTCAGTGGATTTGAATTGCACGCAAGTTGATAAAAGCGCAAAGAAAAACAATTTCACATCATTCAAGTTTCAAGAGCACCCAAAAATGGAAACTATGAATGTGGAGCATTAATTAAAACTGCAGTGGATGTGAAATTGAAACTATAAATAAGGAGCGGTAATTTATAAATGGTTAGTGCATATGATAGCATAGAAAGGTGATAAAAAAACATATAGGAATAGTTGAAGAAGAATTAGCCGAAACAAAAAATTTTAGATATATGGTATGAAAAAGTGCAGAAGGATTGGAGAGTGGAAAACAAGAAAGAAGAGGAAAACGACGATTACCTTAGGAACAATGGCAGTGTGGTGGTGGGAAGGAAGTTTGGTTTGGGAAATGATGAGTGTGAAAGCAGGAATTTGTAAATTAGATATTATAGCGATTGATATAGACGGAGAGTGATGTCGGTAATAGCGAAGATATTGTGGGTGGTGTCAGGCTTTATAGTAAGACAGTCATTAATTGGGCAGGGATAAATAGTAGAGCGGTAAATGGAGTTTTTTGGGTATTCATTATATATTCATCAGGTATGTTGGGCATTCTTATAAATCTAACGGTGAATAGATGATAAAAGTACGAAGTACTACAATGTAATGTTTTTTTCTTTTGACAGAAAAGAATCTACTTTTAAAGTTATCAGGCAACGTGGTAATGATATACATTGAGGGACTCTGACATGCCTTGCATTCGACGGTACCTTGCATTTGACCAAAAGTGCTAAACCTTTGCAGCTCACAAAACAGGCTCCAATGAAACAAACAACGGCAGGAAAAAAGAAAGAAGCTAGACTTCAGCTGTGGAGATGCCACGTGGTGCCAAGGGAAGCTACCACAGGAACACAAGGAAATTAAAAGGTTGTCCGGACTGTAGCCAAAAATACTGTTTGTTGGTTGTGCCTTACATAGTAGATAGAAATGTAGAACATATATATATAGGTGGATACAATACAATGATAAAACAGTTTCTAGAAGCGTGTGCATCAAAGTGGAAGATAAAACAGTTTGTGGATCAGATTGGGTGTGGTGGCTCAAATTGATATGATTGAAGTACCCTCCTCGTGTCTTCTGCAGCATATTTTTCGATGCCGTCTTCAGCAAACACGATGACCTGATAGGTGAGCATTGTTGTTGGCAGGAAGAACAGGAGTTCATTTGGCTCCGCATGAATTTGGTCCAGAAATTGAATCCAATGCTGAGTAACATTAATGTTTGTGTATTGCAGGTAAGCATGTATTTGTTGTCGGTTGACATGAATGAGGAAAGGACGGTTATTTTGCCAATTTGGAGCGATGATATTAAATGGTGGTTTCTGTGAAAATATATTATAAGTTAGGGTGTTTGGGTAATAATTTATCATTGTAATTGTATAAAGATAAAAGGTACCAGGCGAAAAGCGTCATCATCAGTGAGGTGATGGAAAAATGACAGAAAACTTAAATCTTGTGTGAAGTCATCCGATAAGCCTGTGATAACTTGCTGGTAAACAAAGTTAGTTCTATCAAAATGCATTTGCGAGAATGGATCTGGGTGGAGTTTTTGGGTTAATTGTGTTGTCCAAGGAAATATTTATTGCTGGCAGTTTTTTTTAAAGATGGCTACGTTGAACTCCATGTTTGCTAAATATTTAAATAGAATGATGTCACCTGTGGTTAGTTTATGGTCTGCTGCAAATTGATTCCATCCTTCAGCAAATTGAAAGTTTCTCAAGGCAATCAGCCAATGTGCATTTTTTCCTTTGATGGTTAGGAATGGCTGTCTGCAGTGTTGTATCATTGGAATAAGATCATGCGGCAATCGCTGTTCAGTTACGAATATGTTAGGTTATGGTTGTTAGAAATTTGTGGAGGGAAAAAAGAAATTTGTATTATATTATCAGAGAAGTACCAGTGTTTGAGTTTTTGTAAAACGAATTGTGAAACAGCATGGTAGGGGGCCATATATATCAGGTATGAAGTGAGGAAGAGGAGCATCTGGAAAAACAAGAATTGTTTTAGCAAATACTCAGAAATATAGGATTTTTGTAAGATAGCAAGTAAATGATAACAATTTACAATTACCTGGTGGGTGCGGAGAAACAAACATGAGGACGCGTTCCAACCACTTAGCAATGGAAATAGCATATTTAAGCTCAAGAAGGCCAACGTCTTCAACGAGGGCAAAATGTTGTTCAATGAATGCTTCGCTGTATTTGTAGGTATCGTGTTTGGGATCTTTATGCAAAGCTGTAGCAGCAAGTGTTTTATGGCCAGCGGGCGTAACTAAATAGTATTTGTATAATTTCTGTCTTTGGGGTGTAATGTGGACGGTTAGTGTCCAAGAAACAAAGATATCATTGTCCATCTAACTGTAGAGAGTTTATGAAACTGTTGGTTATTAAATTGTATATGGATTCGGTGAATGGAAAACGAAATGTTTAACTAAACGGAATGTAAAATGAAGCAAAATAATCTACCAAACAGTGAATCATATTAGTTATGAGTTAGGTCTGTTTTATGTTTGAAGAATTATAGACGTAAAAACAATGAAAGAATTAAATATGTTGAAAGTAAATTATTCAGTTATCAGCTGCAAAATATAGTGGAAATTGATGGAAGCGTACCTGGTGTGCAAGTGAAGTAGGAAATTTAGCTGTGTTTTAACTGTTGAGGATTTTTTACTGGTGATAGATTTTATAGGAAAATGAGAGTGAATGTTCAGGTGGAAGAAGGCTGTATATGTTTGAAGATGCGGGGGTCGGTGGAGGGCTTTAATGGGTATTTAATTTGAACAGGTAAGAAGAGAAAGTGGGTCGGTTGAGTATTTGGTGGAGTATTAAATGAATTGATTGGTAGTATTTATTTTGAACCGTTTAATGGGAGAATTTAATTTGTTTTAGTAAGGGAAAGGATTCTGTGGTATATTGGGTTGCTATATGTTTGTTTGCATATGCGTGGCTGTTGAAAAATAAGAAAGAAAATAGTGGAGTGGGTGGAAGAAGAATTGAAAGCGATGGAGGCAGGTAGCAGGAATAAAAGCGATGGGATATTTTCAGTGGATTTGAATTGCACGCAAGTTGATAAAAGCGCAAAGAAAAACAATTTCACATCATTCAAGTTTCAAGAGCACCCAAAAATGGAAACTATGAATGTGGAGCATTAATTAAAACTGCAGTGGATGTGAAATTGAAACTATAAATAAGGAGCGGTAATTTATAAATGGTTAGTGCATATGATAACATAGAAAGGTGATAAAAAAACATATAGGAATAGTTGAAGAACAATTAGCCGAAACAAAAAATTTTAGATATATGGTATGAAAAAGTGCAGAAGGATTGGAGAGTGGAAAACAAGAAAGAAGAGGAGAACGACGATTACCTTAGGAACAATGGCAGTGTGGTGGTGGGAAGGAAGTTTGGTTTGGGAAATGATGAGTGTGAAAGCAGGAATTTGAAAATTAGATATTATAGCGATTGATATAGACGGAGAGTGATGTCGGTAATAGCGAAGATATTGTGGGTGGTGTCAGGCTTTATAGTAAGACAGTCATGAATTGGGCAGCGGTAAATGGAGTTTTCTGGGTATTCATTATATATTCATCAGGTATGTTGGGCATTCTATAAATCTAACGGTGAATAGATGATAAAAGTACAAAGTACTACAATGTAATGGTTTTTTTTTTGACAGAAAAGAATATACTTTTAAAGTTATCAGGCAACGTGGTAATGATATACATTGAGGGACTCTGACATGCCTTGCATTCGACGGTACCTTGCATTTGACCAAAAGTGCTAAACCTTTGCAGCTCACAAAACAGGCTCCAATGAAACAAACAACGGCAGGAAAAAAGAAAGAAGCTAGACTTCAGCTGTGGAGGTGCCACGTGGTGCCAAGGGAAGCTACCACAGGAACTCAAGGAAATTAAAAGGTTGTCCGGACTGTAGCCAAAAATATTGTTTGTTGGTTGTGCCTTACATAGTAGATAGAAATGTAGAACATATATATATAGGTGGAAACAAGACAAAGATAAAACAGTTTCTGGAAGCGTGTGCATCAAAGTGGAAGATAAAACAGTTTGTGGATCGGATTGGGTGTGGTGGCTCAAATTGATATGATTGAAGTACCCTCCTCGTGTCTTCTGCAGCATATTTTTCGATGCCGTCTTCAGCAAACACGATGACCTGATAGGTGAGCATTGTTGTTGGCAGGAAGAACAGGAGTTCATTTGCCTCCGCATGAATTTGGTCCAGAAATTGAATCCAATGCTGAGTAACATTAATGTCTGTGTATTGCAGGTAAG